TTCCGGTTTCCGATTCTCGGTTTCCGATTCTCGGTTTCCGATTCTCGGTTTCAGGTTCTCGGTTCTCGGTTTCCAATTCTCGGTTCTCGGTTTCCGATTCTCGGTTCTCGGTTTCCGATTCTCGGTTTCAGGTTCTCGGTTCTCGGTTTCCAATTCTCGGCTCTCGGTTTCCGATTCTCGGTTCTCGGTTTCCGATTCTCGGTTTGCGATTCTCGGTTTTTTACGCCCTGGCCATGGCTTAACTTGATAGATAAGTACTTAGATAGCTACCTGCAACTCCATATTGATTCTCGTGTGGACGACAAGGACTACTTTTGACACGAGCATGCGTCTTGATCATGTCGTGATGCGCTGTCACAGATAATCAAATATCTTCAACTTCATGGAGTGAAAAAAACACAAACTTTCAGATCGCGCCCGCGAGCAGGAACTTCTTTCGCTGGTGACGCAGCTTGAAGGCGAGCTAGATGCCGCCCGTAGCAGCGTGACTGAGAAAAGCCAAACTTTGAATACCGCGGTAGAACACACCCACCAGCAACACTTCCACGACCTCCAGCAACGGGAGCAGGCGCTCGCGAGTGAGCGAGCAGCTTTTCAAAATTATGTGCAGGTCGAGACGCAGAAGATCTTCGTGCAACAGCAACAGCAGGAGTTTGCGCGGCACCGACAGCGATTTTTGACGGTGCAGAAACTGGTCGAAGTGAATATGTTTCCGTCCGTCGCAACTAGTGAAAGACACGGTAATTTCGCTCCTTATACTAGTGCTGATGACCACCACGACACGTCAAATAATCCCTACCAGTTCCAGTCCCCCGCCGGCCGCACTGCAGCAAGCCCAACAGCTGTACTAGCTGGAAATACGAGAAATAACAACCAAAGCGGAGGAGGGCAGCAAATGCGAAGTACAACCCGACCGCGTACCTCCAGCACCTCCGCGACAACGCCCACAACTGCTACCTCGGACGACAAGCAACAGAGATCCAAGTTCATGCAGGAGTTGCTGAAGCGCGGGCAGAGCCGGGAGAGAAGCGAGTCGGCGCACCGGTTCCGGTTGCTCCTCGAAGGGCATCAGGCCCAAAGGACGGTTTTACGCGAGGGGATGACGCAGATGAAAAAGGTGGTGGACTTATCGTATTTGAAAACGTCCCCTCCCATAGTTGCAATGCAAATCTGCATCATGCTGAAAAGGTTTGTCATGCGGAGCCCCATGAAAACGAAAAGCATTTTCTAGTCGTTTTCTGGAATCTGTCATGCTCCAAGCAGCATGATATACTAGATCTGTGATGCTCCTGAACTACCTCAAACAGCAGTGGTACACTACGAGTCCTCCAAACTTGTGATGCAAAACAGCCAAAGCTTGTGGATTTTTCTAGCCGATTCCCCATCTTCACTAGGGGGGCGGGGACGTTTTTGCATAGGATTGGACTTGCTGGAGGCGAGGAGTCGATCGGTGAGCATCACGCCATATCGAATGCAAAAGTGTCTGGGTCTGGAAGGATGCGAACTTGTGATGCATACTTAGATCACACAAAGTTCTGTCATGCTTGGACAGTAAAAGGACCTCCTTTT